CAACAACCTGAGAAAGTATTGCTAGAACATCCTGTGTGTCTATAGTCAACCAAAGGGGAAATAGGCTAGAAGCAAGAAAAAGAAGAATTAGATAAAACCAAACTGACCTTTGTGGAAGGCTGCAAATGAGGTAATATATAGGCAGTAGACTTAGCACGATGCCTGGAGCATAATTAGTGTGAGCTCAAAAAGGTTATGAGTGTTATTATTACTACTGCTACTCCTAACTTTTCAGAGAGTATACAAAGATACCCCAAAATTATAGTGAACTCTTCCTCCTACATTCGACTCTTTTGTGCCCATCTGACCCTGTTCCACGCTTACAGTGTTTAAAAAGTCTGAGGGAGGCCCTAAATGAGAAGGGACACCAGCTGTCTTTAATGTCCCGGGACAGTTATGACTGGAAAGCAAGAACCTTACCCCAAGGAAAAAAGGTAAAGAGAAAATGCAAGAGGCAGAAGCAAGGATTAATACTCAGTTCCCTGCAAACTAACCATGGAAAAGGGGGATAAAAAAGCAACAGGTGCAGACCACAATGTACTTTGCAAATTGTTTTTCAAGACAGACCCAAACCAGGGAGTAAGAAATTTGGGAAGATGATCCTAGCCTGGTTTCTATGTGTGTCCATCTGAGCAAACACAGCACTGGCTGTGAGATTCGGCCAAACACAGGTCAGGAGAGCCTGTGACACGGCAAGCTTCACATTCTTCTAAAATCTAATGTGGCCTTGGCCGAAAGGTCACTCCTGACTCCTCTGCCCAAGACAGTAGCCTCCCCCAAGAGCCTGCCCAGAGAGGACAGCCACAAGGGTGGGGGGCGATCAGTTCTCTCCACTCGCTGGCCAGAAACCCCATAAGCAAACAAGGAAACATGACCTTGGCTCAGTGCTTGCTCGCAGGGCTATTTTAAGGAAAGCGGAACTGGAAAGTAGAGTGAGCTGCCATGTGGCAGAATGATGATCCAGAGGGAAAACTAAGTCCTTTTCCCAATCCTCCTCGTGGGACTGGGAGCCCAGGAAATAGTGAGAAATGGCCCCGTGAATCAGCAGCGAGCAGCAGCAGTGGCAGCCCGAGGGGCCAATGTGAAAGTGCTGAAGGTAACGAGGCACATGTGTATCCGACCCTCAGCAACATTCCTGCAGGGTGCGGACAATAAAGAGCAGTGAAGAGAATCGCACTCAAGTGCCTGGAACTTAGAAAAGGAAACTCTTAACGAATGCAAACCGACAATGGCCAACTGCTGATATGAAGAGGACCCTTTGTTACATTCTTCTCTAGGTCTTGGAACCAGTGACCTTCCGCAGCTAATTTCTAAGGGTTGCTAATTTTTGGCTTGCTGTTTGTTTTAGAAATGCCCTCTAAACCAGCTCCTCCCAGGGAACCAGGATTATTACAGAAAACATGACATTAGCCTTCTCAATTCTCTCAACTCCGAGACTAAGGAACTGCCTATTTACCCACAGTGCTTGGAAATATGTCCAGAGGCCTTTCAATGGCCTTGACGGGGAGGGGTTACCACCCCCCTCCCACACACACCCCAAGGCTGTGAAGTCACATGACCGAGGCCCAAGGCTGCACTTAAAGGGAGCCATCCTCCAATGACTTGGTGGCTTAGACCCCAGAGCACAGTCTATCCTGAAACAGCAACCAGCTGGTCTTGCAAAGGAAAGAGGTCTACCATATCCTGGAGATACAGGAAGAACCATCCATTTTTTTTCTGTCCATTTGCTGATATGTAAGGTGAGGCACAATGAAGTCTGCTCCCCCAAGTGGCACATTTTCCACTACACTGTGTTTCTCCTCCAGCTAAGACACCGGTTCACCTCAAACCTCCCTTTCTCCCAGGAGCTCTGGGAGTAGACCTTTTTCCCCCAATAGTTGACCTAACTCTGGTAAAAGGCAGCACTAGAGAAAGTCGCAATCCCCTCAATCAAAAGAAATTAATGAAAAAGTGAAAAACAAATCCATTTACCTGTCTCTGCCCAGGCCCCCCTCCCCCCAAAAAAACCTCCTTTCATACTTCTGACATGTACTCACTGGTTTCCTAGTCTACCAACCTCAAGATAGCTCGTACGATGGGGTCAGCCCATTGACGAAGAGCAATAATAATTAAGCCAAGAGATCCCTAGAAAGCCAAGTTTCCTACCAATGACAGCCACCCTCCAAATTCTTCAGAAAGGACTGAGTGATTTAAAGTAACCTTCACATTACCCACAAAGCTGTCCTTAGGCCTCAAACAGCCAAGACACCTGCCCCACAGAGATTATTAGTGGGTGATACAAAGATACCAGGGAAGCTTTACTTGGTTGAGATTCTTAAAGCTGCCTTCCTGTATCAAGCCCTACCATCTTACCCCAACATCAGGTACCCAAGCTTGCTGCAGCAGCCATAGTGATAATGATGGCTGTCATCATCATGGTCATGGTCATCTTCATCATCATTACCAACCACTGTCATTGTGGCCATCATCGTCATCTTGGCCATCACAGAAAAAATTTATTAAATTTTTATTACATGCCAGATACTATCTTACAATTTTTCTAATATTTTCTCACTTAATCCTCACAACAACCCTATTTGGTAGATACTGTTATTACTCTCATTTTACGGATGAGTAAAACTGAGGTTCAGAGCAGTTAGGTAACATGCCTAAGGTCACATGGTGATAGAGCTCAAATCCAAACCCAGGAGGTATGGTCCAAAATCTCTGTCCACTAAGCTGAACTTTCATTAGGAAAAAAAAAGCATTTCTACTGCCCTACTTAGTCAGGATCCCTGCTGTTTCCCAATCCAACTTTCCAGGGCAAGAATCTGGCAAGTACATGACAACGAGGAAGCCTGTCTAGCCCTTCTGTGTACATGCCAACAACTCAGATCTGATTAATCTAGGAAAAGAAGATCAAAACTCTTTCTAGAAGTCGCTCTTCACCCCCATTTTCCCTCAACCTGATTTCTGAAGAGAACACCTCGCCACCAGCCTCTGCCAATGCTCTGCCCAGGACATCTAATAAGTGTTTACCCAGGGCTCCCAGAGCCGTAGTTAAGGGCCTTAATGTGCAATCTGGCTCTGTGCCTTATTTAATCAGCACCTGAATGAAATGTCTCTGCTAGCAACAGCCAGAGCACAGTCAGTCAGAGTCTTTCTGCAAACACAGCTGGCCGATTGGCAAAGGCAATTCAATTCACAGGCAAAATACACCCCGAGTTTATACCACTGCTGATGTGTGACGGAGATGGAGAGAATAAAGGCATCGAGATAGAATTAGGATGGGCTCATGCTTCCCTCCCCCTCCAGATGATCTCACTCCTCCCTCTCCTATCCACCTACAACACATGTCCACAGGGCACAGCTTACAGCATTTCTGCCAAACAGGCCAATCCTCTCTGATCTCCTGGCTCCTGCCATCCATTCCCTTCCCTCAGAACCACCGGCCCAGGACAAATTCATATGACCCTTCCTCCCACTGACATTTCCTCCAGCAGCTAGTAGATGAAACCAAAACCAACCTAGAGATTGCCCACACCCTCCCCTTCAGGATCTCAGGCTGACAGCAGGTCCAAGTGCCTTGCTACACCAGCCCTGTACAAGCCCTGCCCTGTGCAGCTGGGAAAGAGCTGAGTAAACACAGAGGATTGTTGCCCAGAAGAGGAGGGGTCCTCCCCAGGCCTTCAGATCAACTACTGCATCCAGCACCTTGGAGGGGGACCTACATTAATATGATACCCTGAGAGTCAGCAAGAAGGGTACAAGACACTGATAACCCCAGTTCTCCTGGTCAGGGGGAGGAAGGAGGCCAAACCTGGGCAAGGAACATGGGAAAGGACACCTGCTCAAAAACACTAGACATAGTCCACCAATTAGAGATCAAGTTAGGGCAACAAGGCCTTGTCTAAACTCAGCCTCCCCCGATGCCCAGTGGAATCTGTCCATGAGCCACTCACACTTCAGTATGAACCTCTTTCTTCCCAATTCCTTCATGGGTAACACCTCCTCTGATGGAACGGGCATTTTGAATTGTAGAAGGGATCGTTTGGTTGCTTGGAGTACTCTGGAAGGAGGCAAGCTTGGATGGGGTGTATCAGGTGGAGAGACTTAGAAATGGGGAAGAAGGAATATGAAAAAGAAAGGTAGAGAGACAGCATAACAGTTCAGCAGCTGTACTATGGACTTTAGTTGGGGCAGCAACCATCCATAAGCCACTAAAAACCATCTCATTTCCCATATTTAATGTCTGCTCACTTAACTCAATATTCTGCACATCCGCCCTTTATAGTGTGGGCCCACCTTCGGACAGCACAGGGAACACAATTCTCTACCTCACGAGTCCCCTAGCAAGGATTCATGGGCATCTGCAGTTCTCTTATCAACAGCCCAGAGATGACAGAGCATTCCTAATTTTACTCATTCAGTCACATTTACTGAGCACCTACTAGAACCAGGCCTTGTTCTAGGCACTGGAACCACAAACAAGACCAACAAAGGCCCCTGCTCTCATGGAGCTAACAAACCTCCTTCATGAGCCAGCTCAAATGTCACCACCTCTAGGAAGCTTTTCTTAACTGCACTACTAAAAAAGACCCTCTGCCCTCTATGCTTTGTTCAAATCTGTTACTGTACATATGATGTTGTAGTTGATCTGTTTTCTTGTCTGTCTTATGTAAACTATGAGCAACATGAGGGCAAAGACTTCTTCTTATTTACCTTTGAATCTCCAGTGCCTGGCACCAATGTTTGGCACATAATAGGCATTTGATAAATGTTTGTTGAATGAATAAATTCCCATGAGCATTTAAAACAAGAGTCCTCTTTAAAAAAAATAAAATAAAACAAGAGTCCTGCAAACAGAAAGTTGACATGCAACAACCATGTACCAACATTCCCTCTTATTAGTCCCTGCAGATCTCAGAGATTGGAAGGGAGGGAATGTCAAAGGACTGGACCATGATAAAGGAGGCCTGGGTGAAATACTCCACCAACAGGAAAAGTAGGAATGAGGAACCATGGCAGCTATGGTTGCTGTTTGCACTGCTCTAGCGAGGAAAAAGTTGACAAACTTGGTGATGATTGCTGTCTGCCTCAAGGATCCTGGGAGTCACGCAGTGCTGCAGAGAAGAGGTTGTTCACAATACAAACAGATAACCAGCAATAAGGACCTGCCTGTTCCAATGGAAAATCCTTATGAGGAGCCTCTTAAGAAATGTATCTTGTGTGAAAAATGTGTAGATTATAAGAACATGTAGCTTTTGTCCCAGCTGATTTCTCCATTTATTGAATGCATTTATGGAAGGCATGTAACAGGTATTTATGAGAAGAAACCGAAAAAATTCACAAAAGCGATTAAGTGAGCTCAAAAACTTGGGTTTACACCAGTTACATACAAGGATCCTGCATATCTCAACAACCTTAAAATTTGTAACATCAAATATTGGGAATAAATTATACAACATTACCACCAACAAACACTTATTTTACAGCAAAAAAGAAAAAAAAAAAAAAAAGAAAGAAAAGAAAAACTCCACTAACATACAGTTGCCAAACAAGCCAATGGAACTCTATAGCTACCTTAAAACTTGCCTCACAGTAACTTGGGGCCCTCAACCTCTAATCTGAACCACATTATTTAACACCTACATAAATACTGGGGCACTGCCAGAAGGCTAAATACCTTGCCCACAGGCCACCCAGATGTAGGCCAGTCAGGACGAGCACCTGAACCAACTTCCCACCTTACCTTTTAGTCACCAGATAATGTCTCTCAAAGTGGAGTCCAAGGCTCACTGGCATCAGAATCACCCGGGAGCTTGTTATAAATGCAGCTTCCCATCCTCACCCTATTTCTGCTGAGAATCACTATGTAGAACACCAGGCCTCTGCATTATGACAAGCTTCCAAGGGATTCTTTCACAAATAAAGTCTGACAATCACTGCCCTCCACACCCATAGTCTCTCCATGTCCACTCAGCCAGTTATTGGCAGAAGAGGTACACCTAAGACAAGATACTCTCCATCTAACAAAAGAGACAAAAAAACGGAGAAGCTGAGAAACCTGGCTCTTCTTGCAGAGGGTATTTCAATCAGTCATGATGACAATGAGCTACCCGCAGAAAAATAGGAGAGAAAGATAAAAAGTGAGTCACTGGCCTAATAACATTTTTAAAATTTAAATTATATTAAAGAAGCAAGAGAAGAAAATTGGCATGTCCAGACATCAACCAAAGGATTAAGACCAAAATCTAACAGCATAATTTCCTAATTGGGATGAAAGCGAGCAGATACTTTCTGCTAAAGTGGGCTGCGGTTCTAATAGCCAGCTCTTTGTGCTGGAAATTCTACAAAAAGATGTGAGCTGGAGCTGAGATGACCTCTCTCCTCTGGCTATTTCAAAAAACAGGCAGGAAGATTCTCATAATGGGCACAAGATATAGGAACCATGTCCATGAGACCTCAAGGGAACATAGACAGGGTCACCAGAGGAGAAAGAAAAAAGAGAAGCAAAAACTCAGCTCCATCGGTCAGTCGCCATTGTCCGGACACACATTAAACAATTAATGTGCATGTACAGTATTGTATTCAGCTCTGCAGGGAGTTACAGAGAAAAAACACTATTTCTTTCCTTTAAAAAATTGTTCCCACTGATAATGGAGACTGAAGAAACATGTAAAAACAGGTGACCCAGTTGAACACAAGATTACCAAACTGTATACGAAGATATTCGTTGAAGGGCCCAATATTCTGAGAAGTATTCAGAGGGTTAGGAAAGGAGGACAAAGGTGTTACCAGAACAACTGGAATAACTGGAGTCAATTCAGGCTCATCTGGAAAGGTTTCTTAGAGGAGAATCTTCAGAGGAGTACTTACAGAGGGGAGGAACCCAAAACAAGTCCCACAAAGACTGAGAAGAAGGTGGCACATCTATGGCAAAGGGACAAAAATCCAGGGAGCCTGTGGATCATCCACTGACTAAGAGCCAGCAACATACTGTTATTTAAAAGCAAGCACAAGGCTGAGTTGTATTAACAGGTGCACGGCAGGAAAAGGCTGGGAAGTAAATCTTCCCTCTCCGTTTGGTGTGGGCTGGACGTCTGGTAAGAGTTACAGCGTCCAGTTTTCTATGCTGCACATTAGAAGGGTGTGCAGATGCAGGCAAGGGTCCAAAGGAAAGCAACAGAAATGATTAGAGCAATGGCTTCTCGTAGCTATCAAGAAAGGTGAAAAGGAGTTGAGGTTTCTCAGTCTCTGAGTCTGAGGTAAAACTACATTAGTCATCTGCCAGCTTTGATCAGCTTTGCCCAGCTTCTGTTTAAGTGACCGCATAGTTATTCGGAGGACTAAAATGCTTTGTTTCCATGTGGCCCATTTCATGGAGAAGACTGAGATAGGGAAAGGTTAAATAATTTGCTCAGGTTCCCATAGCAAGCCATGAGCAAAACTAGCATCATAATTTTAATTCCCAGGGCTGTCTGTGGGTTGTTTAACCCATCAATCCATACCACCTCTCTTCATAACGGATGCCCCCAAAGGACTGTAACAATGAAAGACGGAAAAATTATCTGCAAATTTCCTTGGGGGAAGAAATAAAACAAACTAAAAAGGAATGTCACGCCTCACTGCTGAGGCCCATATAAACATCATCCCCATGTGTGTCCGCACGGACTGAAGACACAGGACAAAGTCTATATCTGATAAACTGTCAGCAAATGGCTAGATCCCTCATTATACCCATTACCCACCGATGTCAGTTCCAAGCAGTAACAGTAATCAGTGCTCCAGACAACAGATGGGGAATGAGGAGGTGTATCTGGTCTCAAGTCAAGGGGGAAAAACAGAAAGCCTACTTTCTCAAATCCAGCAGGTTTTCTCTAAAACAAATCCATCACATAGCAACTGGAATGCACCAATGTGTATTCAGTGAGTTGCAAAGGGTGTCACCAAAATTTCGGGACTTTTTGAGTATGTGCCATTCTACACTTGTAGCAAGGAGTGAAGAAGTAGGAAAATCAAACAGTGAACCAAAAGCTGGTAAGCCATATTTGGCGGAAACCAGACTTCTAATATATTATAAAGAAGACAGAAAATCAAAGAGCAACAGCAACTCTAAAAAAGGATGGGGCTCAGTCTTATTGGCTAAAAATCAGTGGCTTGGGGCTAAGGGGTCAATAGTATCCACCATCATTTACCAAGCGTCCAGCCTGGATACAGCCTGCCTTATGCGCATAGACATTGAGGGTTAAATGGTGTATGTTGCACCACACTAAGTTCAGTGCTGAATGGAGACATTGGCACAGACACACACAGAATCAACAGGAATTGGACAATTAAACAAGACATCCAAAAAGGAATCTCCTGGCTAAGTTCCTAAAGCAAATACAACTTAACTAGTCTCAAGTAAGATAAAGAGCCACTAAGTTAAGACCACTGGTCTTTATAGACACAAGCAGTCAAACTATCTGGCATTTTGACCCTTCTGCTGAGAAATTGTAGTTTTTTTAAGACTTAAATAACTATGAGAATCTCTTCCTGCTAAGCCCGGATTCCCACTGTGGCAGCTCAGTTGTAAAGTCACCTCTGCCACTCACTTGCTGGGTGATTTTTGGTAAACAGCATAATCACTCAGGAAGTTCATTCCCTGTCAGCCATCCCTTCCAAAATAATACGCAAAAGGGGACTGGCCATGCCAGAAGAAATGCTTATTGGTATAATAGGTAGACACCACCATATTTAGCAAGAAGTTTAACAATGGTGTGTTAACCTTGGTGCTTGCTGATTTTGCAAACCCTCAAATATCTCTGGCTTGGGCTTAGCGGGGAGGTGGTGCTACTTCAATCATACAAGCCTGTATCAGTCTACAGTCCCAGGTTTGAGAAGTCAGACAAGACCAAAAAGAAACTCACAGCAAGAACATTAATCAAAAGAACTCGGACACAAGTACTGCCCTTCCTTATGCTACAACAGCTGGCAGTCACCCAAAGGCAGCACGGCTATGACGAGGGTCTGTGTAACAGGACTTGGAAATGAACATTTTGCAGACTGAAAAATGGGAGATGGATAGACTAACCAATTTCCCTCCAACTCCTCTACTTCCTGGCCTAAAGCAACATTGTCCTTGTTATAGACTTGTTACACTGACTCTATGAGGAAGAAGGCCTTTCTACAAAGCCAAAATTGAGTCATCCTGTTGAAAGACACATATCAGAAATGTCTCTGCTAAGCTATCCCGTTCACTTCAGCTAAGTACCATTTCTTTCTCCATGCCAAAGCTAATCTATCATAACCCTAAATAAGATCATGCATATGAAAGTGCCTTATAAACACTAAATTGCTACGTAAAAGTAAAGTATTATCAACTATACATAGTATCATTAGTCATTGCTACAACCAAGTCAGAAAATTGTTTCCAACCATCTGCTGTTAATTTTTCTTTTTAGGACTCACATCAACTTTGAAAAATCCATACATTCCTGCTTGCCAGGAAGAGTCATACAGAGGGTTTGGAAAGTTGGATTCATCAAAGACTAGGGCCCCCAAGGGTTACTATTTAAATGATACAGGACCAGTGGGTTAGAGTGCAACTTTGTAACACCAAGATCAAGGGTTCAGATCCCCATACTGGCCAGCCACCAATAAATAAATAAGTAAATGATAGAAAGCAGTGACTTAGGGATCAAGGACAAAGGAGTATAATCCTGGTGAGGCTCAAGAATTCCTCAGTATGACTCTGTTCTCTGCCCCCTCCCTACAGCTTCAGGACACACGACAGTAGAAAAAGCACAGGTGACAGGAATCAGTCCTTTCTCCACACAAGGAGGTCAAAAGCATTTCAGAATAGCTCTCTCTTTCATCCCCATATACTACTTATGGAGAAAAGAAACACAGAACGCAGACTGCCAAGAGCTAGGAATGCACCTCTGCTTCATATTACAGATGGGCAAACTGAGGCCCAGGAAGGGCACTTTCCCCAAAGTCACACAACTAATTAGTGCCAGAACTAGGTCTCCTAAGTCTTCTAAAAGCCTCTAAGAATCTTTCTTCTAAAAACCATGGTGCTGCCAGTTTTGACGTCATCTCACCAGCAGCAGCCCCAGTTAGACTGAGTTTAGTCCTTTGTTGACCTTCTAGATAGGTGGTTGCCAGAGGCCTCAAGACCCCTTTGTAGAAGAGGCACCCCTCTGACCCTCACCACCTGCCACCCTAAAATAGCACTCCTGTCCTGAGCGCCTCACACAGCAGCGGCTGAGATGCGTTGTTTCCTCTTATTAACAAAAAGCCCATTCATAAAAAAGAAAGAAAGAGGACTGGTTCAAATTTACACAGAAAGTCTAGCTGGGACAGCCCTGGACTTCCTATGAATGGCATCACTTCCCAAGAAGCCCTCTCAAAAAAAGCTGCCCACTCCAGCCCTGTGCGATGCTTACAGCCACCTAGTTTAACAGCCTCTTTAATCCAAAACTATCCACACCTCCTTGCCACATCTGCAAGACGAAAGGGGCCAGAGGTCATTCATGGCATTTTACAGATTGGGAAACTGAGGCCAGGAACCTACAATCAAATGAGTTACTAGGAACACAGAGCTAGCAAATTTCCAGGCCACTAGTAGACAGCACCATGCTCATCTGCCTTGGCCTTCCCTTGGGACTGCCCCACCAACCGCTGCCTCCCCCACTTTGGGGTTGACAGCTTGCAAAACCAAGGAGGGTGGGTTTGCTTTCCATCCCAGATGCTAAACCATCTTTTGGCTGCAGACAAGTGACCTCCCATCCCTGAGCCCCACCAGGCCTGTAAAATGAAGATAATAATCTCAACTTCCTGCCCCGCACAGGGTTGTCACAAGTCTCCTGAGAATAAACTTCTACAAATATAAAAGCAATAAAGATGCTAATGACAGGTTTCAAAACTGCCCCTTAATAAAATACACCAGGTTTTCCACAGCCTGAAATCTAAAAAAGACTGAGTGTTTTCCCTTTCTCCTCTTCTTCCTCCTCCATGATTTTATAGTTTCAGAATATCTCTCTGCACAGGCTGAGAACAGAAAGACATTCTCACTCTTGGTCCTCATCCAGATTATTTTTATGTATCTGGCAACTTTCCTTTCCAATCCCATTTGTTTTCCTTAGCACTGCTAATGGGTAGAAGTTGGGTGAGGTAAAGAAATCAGCTCTTTGAGCACCCCTGGATTAGGGTCACAGGAGATAGAATGAAAGTGATAAGATGGAGAGGTTTGTGACAAATAAATACCCTCTCACCACAGATAGAGATCACCAGCCCAAAGTTCAGAAGCCAGCCTGTGGCTCATTTCGGGGGCACTCAGTAGGAGCATGCTGTAGCTCCAACGCCTCAAAACTCAAAGGCAGACCTAACTCTAAGAGCATAAACTCCCAAATCAAAGAATCATTAAGAGAAACCAGTAAAAGTATTTCCCCAATGTACCACAGTGGAGACAAGGAAGCTTATGTGATCACCTCCAGGAAAGAGTATCACCAGGCCCCTAGGAAATTACCACAGAAGGCAAAGGGGCTGGGCCATGATCCACAGATGTGATTCAGAAAGGGCACCTGGCTGGGGCTGGACTTCCTGCTTGTGAAAGGCCAGGGCAGGGCTGCAAGAGGAGGGGAGAAGAGGGGAGGGGAGGGAAAGCCAGCCTAATTGCCAGTCATTCCTAGGGTTCTGGCACAAGGTTCCTCACCTCCACCATGGGGCTAACACATTACAAAGGTGAAAGAAAGCCAAAGCCAAAATTGGCACCTTTAAAGGCAGCAGCCACTCACTGGAAAAATCAATTTTAAGGGTCCCACTTCCTGCAGGGATGAGGTACTCTACACTACCGAGTATCCTGAGCACACAAATGACTCCTATCACTTAGGCTGCCCAGGAAAAAGTCAACAGACTCACATGCATCATGGTGACCAGGTGACAGGGGTTGAGCAGGTAGATGACGGTCTTGGTGGCGAACTTAAAGCCCACCTCCACCCCGAAGGTCAGGCACAGGACTACTAAGAGCAGATTCTTGCTCAGGCTCTCCTTGCCTTCCTCTGGCCGCTGGGTCACCTGCTCTGGCTGTCTGCCACGGCCACCCCTACCGTCCTCCTCCGTTTGCCTCAGGATGTGCCGCAGGGCCACCAGGATCTCCAACAGGGCCAGGGTCAGGACCACCACACTTTCCAGCAGCCGCTGCTGCCAAGAGAGGAAGGCAGCACAGTCGGGGCCCCCATTGCCTGCAAAACTGGGGTCGACGCCCCCATAGAGCCAGTCCAGGAGACTTTGGTAGCTATACCGGGACATGATGCAAAGTGGTTCCCCTTGACCACCGTGCAGGAAGCAAGAGCAAGATGGAACACGAGCCCAGAGGGTTGCCCGGGTGTTGGAACATGTAAGGAGGGCACACCCCCGCACCCCCCTCCAGACACCGGGGCACCTAGAGCAGGGGAGGGGAAGCTACACGCGAGGCCCGGGGTAAAGTGCTGGCTCTAACTTGTCCCCAGGGCTGTCTGGGGAGCCCCCCGCGCTTCTCCAGTGGCCACCAACGAGGCAGGGTTGAAAGGAGCCGTTGGCCAATCTAAAAGGAAGGAGAGGAAAAAAAAAAAAAAGGTCTCAAAGAGGCAATTACATCGGGGAATTACGAAGCAGGGAGGGGGGTAACTAGCGAGGGAAGAAAAGGGGAACAGGGGCAGTGGCGAAGCAAGCAGGGGTCAGGGGAAGCCGGAGGCCGAGAGGGCCAGCACGGGGGCCGAGGGGACCCGGCAATACCGCGGGAGCGAACCGGGGGCGTAGGGGGTGCGAGCGAAGGGACACGCGGAGGCTAGAAGAGGAGCTAGCGGGGCCGGGCAGGCGGGGAGGCGACGGGGAAGGCAGGGACGCCGGACTCCTCGTCTCACGCACTCGCCACAGAGGGATCTCTTACTCCTGCAACCGCGTGGCCGTCTCTGCCCCCAACTAGCAACTTCGCCGCCGACGGGCCCCTCCAGCCAATTTAGAGCGGTCCCGGTCCAGCCTCCCGCCCCCGGGTACACCCCCGAGCCCCCAGCTCCACCCCCCGGCCCCAGACGCC